TTAGCTTGTTTGTTGCTGGTGTTGGTTGATGATTTCTCTCTTATTGGCTGCTAAAAATTGTTACCCCTTGCCCAAAGCTCACTTTTCATACTCTTTATCAAAGAAAACTCAAGCCCTTTCACTACCAAAGACTTCTCTAAATGAAAGTAGAGATATTTAAATAAGCGGCTCCAAGAAAATCATAATTTTTAATTTAGTTGTCTATGTTCATATAGTATTATTTGAAGACCGTACAGTACAATTAGTTCAATTCTCCCTTTTAATATTGTATGATGAATGTTAGTCTGTATGATCTGTTTAAAATTTTTCACTGGATGTCAAATAAGATCTCATAGTCGTAAGTTAAAATTAGTTCAATGGAATCATGGTCCATATGGAACAAACTCCAAGATAAAAAAATTCATATATATATATCGATCGTCCAGTACGATTGGTATCATACATTACAATCCTAACAACTAATTAAGCCTGATTCGATTAACTATTTCTAGAGATTAATTTAGGTTGGATTTTAAATATTGTATAATATGAATAGATTAATTTGCAAATATCAAAATATTGCCTCATTGGCAATGGGGTTTCCTTGTTATAAATCATCCCACCAAATTCAATCTTTATTATTAACAAAACTACCACTCAAATATTAAACAATGAAACTAATCAATTTATGTGCATATCATCAAATTTTTTTATCAACCATTAAAAGTAAAGTTGGCTTAACTTTTTCATCTTATTTACAATATGAGTGATAATTTTGTAATTTAAAAATTTTTAATGTTAAGTATTTACTCTACATATTCGTTTAAGTCCCAAGCTTCAAGTGATTTACTCTACAATGATCACCCTTTAAAAAAAATTCCAACAAGCACACCAAACATAGCCATAATAAAGCAGAGACCCCTTACAATTTATCCAGTGCTGACTATACTTGTACACATACCAAGCCTCACAACCAAATGTATTATTTTTATTTGGGCTTCGCCTGGATAAAATTTCTATTGCTTTTTAAAATAATTTTTTAATATAAAAAATTCTCATTTAAAAATTTTTTATACTAAAAAACTGTTTTAAAAAATAGTAAGAAAACTATCCCAAACAAACAGCTGCAAAGGAAACACCACAAAAAATAAATATTATAGCATTTATGTACGCAGACATATTCATAGATTTACCTCAGTAAAGTTTAAACATCAAAAACTGGAAAAAATAGCTATGCAAAAAGAGTTCCAGTCATGACAGTTACTGCTTCACCACTAATGAGAACTCGCTGGTTCTGCTCATCCAGTTGAAGTTTCAGTATCCCACCACGTGGAGAAGCCTATATCAGTACATTAAATGTATTATTTATATTTTAACCTATTTTGATAAGGAAGAATGATGCAAATCAAGCTAATAAAAGTACCTGATAAGCCATAAGATTTTGCTTTCCCAGTTTCTTGCTCCAATAGGGAGCTAATAGACAATGCGCACTCCCAGTGACGGGGTCCTACAATTAGAGCATGTGAAGAGAAGATGCGAAGAGAATTAGTGCTCCTCGTTTGGCTTCTTAAAGTTAGAAAATAAGGACTGAAAATTTAAAATTTCATTAGATTTCACTATTTAATTGGATGTAAATGAATAATGATAAAGATTTTAAAGTCATAACCACCTTTAAAATCATTCAAAAGAGAGAATCCTAAAATAAGTGATGACAAAATTTTAATTGTTAAAACATGTCTTTATCTACAAGAAACGAAAAGAGCCGTTATGTGAATCCGGAACTGTCAAGTCTGTGTTTCAGTTATCAAGTAAACCTGAAAAGCAACTAATAACATGCCTAAGTTATAGATTTTTACTTGAGGCCAACAGTGAGAAACAATTGATGCACAACAATAACAACAACAATATCAAGCCTTTATTCCACTATGTGGGGTCAACTACATGAATCCTTTCTCTTTATTGTGTCCTGTCAAGAGTCGAATTTTCACTTAAATCTAATAAAGAAATGTCATTTCTAATTTTTTTTTTTGACCAAGTCTTTTTAGGTCTACATCTATCTTTCTTAACATAAGCCAAATATAATACATCTACTCTCCTAGCCGGGTCATTGCAAGGCTGCCATTTTATGTGATCAAACCATCTAAGACTACACTCAATTTTTTAAGTCATTTAGCTTTCTGCTTGAAATCGGTCTAATTTCAAGCCAAGAAAATTGAGAAAGAAGAATTAGATCAAAATAAAAGAAATCTATTTCATGGATGTATACTCAACTAGTTAAGCAAGAGAAAGATTAATCTTGGTTGGCTGAGAATATTCCTTCAATAGTTAGGAAACTATTTTGGTCGCTACTCTAAGGCTTCGTTTGGGACGGCTTTCTTGCTGCTTCTTAAAGCAGCTTTCTAGTACAAAATTTTTAATTTTTATGCTAAAAAGCTGCTTTAAGAAGCAGTAAAAAAGCCGTCCCAAACGAAACTTAAAACTTAATAACTTACGTAGCTAGGAATGTGTCACCCTACCCACATGAAAAAGATCCTGCATAGTTAAAAAATAAGTTAGCCCTAGAGTACATGACTTCAAACTTACACGTGAAAGGGCATTCCAAGAGCATGGAATGAATACAAATATGAAAATATTTTATCCTTGAAAGGAAAGTGCCCAAAAAATCTTGTAAATTGTTACTTTAATAAATGACTTGAAAACAAAATTATCTTCTCAAACAACCCTTTTCTCTTCTAACTTTGCAAAAGAAAAAATTGTGATCACATTAATTCTGAATTGAGAAAAGGACCAAAATAGTCTCTTAACTCTTTGAGGGATAAAAATGATCCCCAACTATTTTTAGGGATCAAAATAGTATGAAAGCTGAAAGCTGTAGGAGAAAGATAAGAGATCAGTTGTGATTTCTCATTCATGATTGAAGTGATTGTAGCTCATAAATCATCTCTATAAAGAAGGCTAAGATTTGACCCATCTTTTTGGCAGTTTCCGATCATAGTTCCATCCTCCTTTCAAACTCTTGAAGATCTAATCTAATCTGAAGAAGAGAGAGAAGCTACTGGGTTTTAGTGAGAGAGTTAAGCTTCAAAATTTCATTTGGCGGTTTGAAAGGCAGTTTCCGATGACGGCAGATGATCGCCGGCCCAATGTCAGCATTTGTCCTAAAGGTGATCGTCGCTACTCGTCTGAGATTGCAGTTGTTCAATAGCATCTATTGGGTAATAAATCTCCTCCTATTTTTGGAGATGCGACTACAAGAGTTCTGGCAAGATCTGCGAATAATGGGGTTTGTATTTCAGCTAACTATGGTAAACCTTTGATCATTAACGAAGGTGGTCTTTTAAATGTTAAACCAATTCCGGTGATTGGGAAGGGGAAGAATGTGATGATGCTGAAGAAATTTCGAAGAAGATGGTAGTTCAAAGTTATCAGAATTTCACGTCGGGAGTTGTCTCTGATTCCATATGGAACGGAGTAAATGATGGTGGTGTTATGAACAAATCTAATGGAGACAATTCTTTCAATACAAATACTGATGTTGGTGGGAAGGAAAAGTATGGAGATATGAATATGATTCGTCAGTGTGTATCTGGGGAGAGAGATCCTGCTGTTCCAGGTGCGGATGGAACTGGAGAAGCAACTATGAAAGAATCTTCAGGGAATGGTTTGTTGAATGTATGGCATAAGAAGACACACAGAAGAATTACTGATTTTGATTGGGATTTTAACAACTTTATGTCGGATGATGGGATGACACTCAAGCTCTGTGAGGAGAAGGTTTTGGAGAACACTAGAAGACTACATAATGCTTTGGTGGTTAAGGTGTTTGGAGAAAACACACTGCATTTCATTGTTAATGCAAGCAAATTTGTGGAGGTAAAGAGAGAGTTCAATTTCTTAACTTTGTGCAAAGAATCACCACACTTGAAGAGAAAAGCAATTCACAAGAGAAATTATAGTTTTAGCATGAGAACCTTTAAAAAAAAAAATCAATGTCAAAATCTGACAATCTTAGGCTCCGTATGTTAGCATACAACACTAAATTAGTAGAGGAAACGAAGCAACAATCTGTACCGTTGACTTAGTTTTATCTGAACCGTTCATTTATTTATTGTACTCTATATATACTATGGTGTATTAGCTGTTTAGGCATTGGAAAATATTCATTCTCTATTTTCGTTTCTGTTTCCTCTTTCCTGTGTCTCTCTGGTTTGGCGTGGCTATCAACATGGAATCAGAGCATAGCTAAGTTCGTTTTTTTTTCTTTCCGATTTCTTGGTCTTAGTTCGTTCATCCCGTCTCTTCTCTCTTTTTATTCATCATGGATGACTCTTCCACCTCACCTTCTACCATAGATGCTCTATTACCGTATACTTCCATACCCATTCCTCCTCAACTCAAGTTCTTGATGAATAACATCAAGACTCTTTTCTCTAAACCCGTGACATCTGATAACTACCCCTTATGGCGATCCCAAATCGAAAAGATTTTTGCAGCCAATTCTTTCAAAGGCTTTCTTGATGGCTCACTCAAGTGCCCGGTCCTAGTGACCGACACCTCCAATACCGATCGTGGGTCGCCATCTGAAGTTTGGTTACTTCTTGATCATAATATTGCTTCCGCTTTACTTTCCATCATTTCCACGTCGATTCTACCATATGTTCTGTCTCTCATACATTGTGTGGATATTTGGTCTACATTAGCTCACCGACTTCAAGCTTCTACAAGATCGCGTATAATTCAATTAAAGAATGAACTCTATCACCTTTCCAAGGTGACCAATCCATGACACAATACTTGCTTACCGTAAAATCTAAGGTAGAAGCAATAGCAGCGGGTGGAAGCTCCATTGTTCCCGAAGAGGTCATTATGCACACATTGAACGGACTCCCAACCAAGTATTAGGCCTTGTAGACAATGATTTGCACAAATTTGCAACAACAAGCCTAGGCGAACAAATAAATACAACATATTCGTTTAAGTCCCAAGCTTCAAGTGAATTACTCTACAATGATCACCCTTCAAAAAGAAATTCCAACAAGTATACCAAACATAGCCACAATAAAGCAGAGATCCCTTCCAATTTATCCAGTGCTCACTATACTTGTACACATACCAAGCCTCACAACCAAATGTATTATTTTTATCTGGGCTTCGCTTGGATAAATTTTTTAATTTTTTTAAAATAATTTTTTAATATAAAAAATTCTAATTTAAAAAATTTTTATACTAAAAAACTGTTTTAAAAAATAGTAAGAAAACTATCCCAAACAAACAGCTGCAAAGGGAACACCACAAAAAATAAATATTATAGCATTTCTGTACGCAGACAGATTCATAGATTTACCTCAGTAAAGTTTAAACATCAAAAACTGGAAAAAATAGCTATGCAAAAAGAGTTCCAGTCATGACAGTTACTGCTTCACCACTAATGAGAACTCGCTGGTTCTGCTCATCCAGTTGAAGTTTCAGTATCCCACCACGTGGAGAAGCCTATATCAGTACATTAAATGTATTATTTATATTTTAACCTATTTTGATATGGAAGAATGATGCAAAGCATGCTAATAAAAGTACCTGATAAGCCATAAGATTTTGCTTTCCCAGTTTCTTGCTCCAATAGGGAGCTAATAGACAATGTGCACTCCCAGTGACGGGGTCCTACAATTAGAGCATGTGAAGAGAAAGATGCGAAGAGAATTAGTGCTCCTCATTTGGCTTCTTAAAGTTAGAAAATAAGGGCTGAAAATTAAAAATTTCATTAGATTTCAGTATTTAATTGGATGTAGATGAATAATGATAAAGATTTTAAAGTCATAACCACCTTTAAAATCATTCAAAAGTGAGAATCCAACTTCATACCTAAAATAAGTGATGACAAAATTTTAATTGTTAAAACATGTCTTTATCTACAAGAAACCAAAAGAGCCGTTATGTGAATCAGGAACTGTCAAGTCTGTGTTTCAGTTATCAAGTAAACCTGAAAAGCAACTAATAACATGCCTAAGTTATAGATTTTTACTTGAGGCCAACAGTGAGAAACAATTGATGCACAACAATAACAACAACAATATCAAGCCTTTATTCCACTATGTGGGGTCAACTACATGAATCCTTTCTCTTTATTGTGTCCTGTCAAGAGTCGAATTTTCACTTAAATCTAATAAAGAAATGTCATTTCTAATTTTTTTTTTCTAACCAAGTCTTTTTAGGTCTACGTCTACCTTTCTTAACATAAGCCTAAACAACAAATTGTGAATTAATAATAAAAAATGTTGAAATTTATCTAGGATTTAGTAAGTGAGCCAAGCAATATAAAGGGGTATTACTTTTGCTCCACATATATTCTAGAATAGCATAAATAACATCCCAGTAGTTTGAGTTTTCATGAAGTGCATTCCTCTCATGTCTATATATAATTTAGATTTAGCATGAATCACCAACCTCAAAAGTTTTAAATCGTCGTTTAGATTCAGCATGAAGTTTATAATTATTATTGTTCTGTTCAATTAGGCATGTCATTCTCTTATGTAATTCATACAGATGTGATGCAAATGCGACATGTTTTATGCGAATTCATGTGTCCAAAATTCAAGACTCAACAAGATAAATAAAATTGGAGTAATGTGATGCAAGAGGTTTGGTGTGCATGAATTGGCATGAATTGTGGGCTCACTCAAAGTTTAAAATAGAGGCAAAAAAAATTTTTTTGGAAGAAAATATAATACAAAAAACACACACAAACATACTGACTCACAAGCACACATAAATAGGAATAAAGATAGATCAATCATAAAATGAGAGGACAAAAAATTTTCAAATTTAAGGGAACTGGTGTAGGAGGAGCAATAAAGACATCCTTAGCTAAAAGGGCACCTCCATAGGGAGCTTCAGCTAGGGTCATAGAAAGTCTCCTAGGGGACAGGGTAATCTTGCAAATTTATCCAACTAGGGGAGAGATGGTCCTTAACAGAGAATGACAAGAATATAGATGGCATAATGGAGGCATCAGGAACATGATAAGACGATAGGTCCTAACTCACAACAATAATGGAATAGCCCAAAGAGTCACCAGCAGGTATTGGACTCAAAAGATGGGGTAGAGTGTCCATAATAGATGTGAGCACAATAGTTAGAGAGATGACATAACAGTATGGATTAATACTCTCTCTAACATTAAAGTCGGTATGAGGAATGGTAAGATAAGTCCAATCAAGAAAGACACTCTTTCAAATATACATCTAAAGGAGCAACTCCTAAAATAGATACCAATAAAACACGAGGCTCATTTTTCCAATTAGGCTCAGATTCATTCAGATTCAAATTACTGTCCTCCAATTCATATTAATAATCTCAATAGGTTCAGGTTTTGTTATAACCCTAAGATCAATGGATTCAGGGTCAACTAGATCGGGATCTGAATTGGGTAGTAAATTCAGTTGAATCATTTCCAACTCGAAATTATCGACATCACCATCAGAACTATTCAAAATTAACTCAGAATTATTTGGAGTAAACACAGTAGGAGATTTAAGTAAATCAGAATCTTCTGAATTTAATTTCAAAGCGCTCAAGGTCAGATCAGTTTCTTTCGAGATCAACTTAATATCATCCAAGCAGACCTTATCTAAAGGGATATCCTTGATGAGATTAGGATCAATATGGGCTAAGGTATCAACGTTTAAAGGTTCTAAATATCATAACTCAAGGTTTAAGTTATGCAGGGAGTCTAATTCAATCTCTTCAATTTCATCCTCAAAGAAATCCTCGTTATCAGGGATATCATTAGTATCTATAAAATGGATGCATTCAATTTTAGGTTCAGGAGAGTTTTTCTTTGCAATGAATTTTTGGTTAAAATTATACTTGTAGGGTCAAGGACTGAGAAAGCCAAAGGTTGGGTAGCCTCAGAATCTACCTTACACTGAAAGGCGGTAAAGTCATCTGCGAGGGGAGGTAAATCGGGATCCACCACGCAGATAGGACGCGTGTTCAAACAAGGTTGACTGGGGTGGCTAGGAGTCGGCCCAAGGCGAGGTGAGGACCTATAGGGTGGGGCAGTAACCCTGATATTACTAAGGGATGGGTGGTCTCGACCACAGTAATGTCCACGATTTGACCCAACAAAAGAGATAGGGTGATGTTCCAGATGAAGGACACTAGGTGTTGGGGTCATTCCCTGATTAGATACGTGAGTGGGAGTGGTATGTCGGATAGGTTTAGAGGTAACCACAGTTGTAGGGAAATGAGTAATTATCGTGTGGTGAGGACTAGGAGTCATGATATCAGATTGGAATGTAAAAGGTGAGTAGGATTGACTTTCACGTGTAGGGTTCTTGAGACTGCAGTGCCCAAAAGTTTGATGAACAGGGGTGACCTAATCTTAAAATCGGGTGGTTGGTCACAAATAGATGAGAGATTTTTTTATTTAAGTTCTCGCCTCATGTCTTTCCAATCAGAAGAAGGGTATTCACCAAGAAACTCTTTATGATCTTCCATTCTTATCCAAAATTGACGAGCGCTACAGTTCAGTCGAGACTTATCAATGCTAACCTAGTAGGACTTAGAAATATCACATGATTCAAAATAGTCCTCTAATTATCTAAACCATTCACTAAAGTAGTAAGTGTTCCGATGAACCATTAAAGGTGGGTAGAAGATAATGAGATTCTAAGTGAGGTTGTTGTGGCTTAGGCTTAGGTCTAGATTGATAAGCAGAGTGGGGCATCTTTCGGCTAACATGATTGATCGAATGGGGCACATTCCTAGAGTGGGAAGAGTCCACATGCTTCTCCTTCATGGTTTTAGTTATAGAGCCCACTAGACTAACGAGGTCATCTAACTTCATTTGAAGTCCTATCGGGTCATGGAAAGTGCTAAGTGAACCTAATGAAGAATAGGTGTAAGGGACAACACTTAGACACAAAGAAACTAGCATAACATTCACTAGATGAGTGCAGGAATGATGTGGACAACAAGCATAACAGTAATTTAAAAAGTTAAATGATAATATGCATGCAACAATATATAGGAATGTTTAGGTAAGCTCCTAGGATGACTTCTAGCACATGTAACGCATGTTAGCCATATTCTGATACCAAGATGATGTAGAACATACATGCAAGGATGATTTGATTAAAGAATTTGCACGCTTAGTATTTAGAGAGTCACAATAATTATATCTTTATATAGATTTTAAACGACAAAATAAAACACAAAGAACGGTAAGACAAGCTTAGGCTAAATCACATGCATAAGAGTTAAGATCGTAAAACAGCCAATTAATCTAAGGGCAATTTTTTAAACTAAGTATCATTTAAATTATAATTAAGCATTTAACCAATGAAAAAAAAAATTTAAAACTCGCCAAAGTCGCTCGTTTAACGGGCGACTTACCTATTTAAGATAAGTCGCCCGTTAAACGGGCGACTTACCTCTTTTCTTTTAAACCCCGCGGAGACCCCTTTCTACCCTAAAAACTATGTTTCGGCGTTGAAGTGCTTCGGCGATATTCGGCGAACCTTGGCTTATCCGCGAGGTAAGGGTGTTTTAACATTTTTTTTGTATGTTTTTTGTGTTAAATTTCTTTCCTTTAAGAGTTTTGTTCATAATATGAACAAAAATATCTATGCTTCGGCAATTGCGCCTCTGAGGCGCGCCTCAGTCCAAGTGAGGCGTACGCCTCTGTCAGGAGAGGAATTGCGTAAGCCTTGAGGCGGTTTTGGGTCAAATTGCGCAGAGGCGCGCCTCTTATTGCGCAATTTTAAACAGAGTCGTGGGCCAGTAAAAATTTTCCCGATTAAAATAGAAATTTAAATCTATTTAGTTATCCTTTTGTGAAAAAAAAAAGATATATATTTAAATATATTTAGTTAAATGCTTATGTGAGATTTTGATTATTTCAGTGTAGTAAGATTGTGTTGTGTAATTGTAGGTAATCATAAACGATACTTAGTAGTGCAACAATGTCTGGACGGGGAGCATCCTTTGTTCTTATGTATGGTGGGCACTTGTCTTTAGATGAAAAATATTCACCAACATATGTTGGGGGTAGTTACCGGCCGTTGCAAGTGTCTACAAATACGAACTTAGAGCAACTGAAGATTAGGATTCTGAAATCCCTAAAATATGATACGTCGAAGTACTCAGTAAACTTAATTTGTCGTCTACCCATAAGGAATGAGTTCATAGCTTCGGTTGTGGAGGATGATGAGGTGTGGCAGATGGTGTTATCGCATGCAGTTGGACAAATACTTATACTTTATGTAGATGTCAAAGAAATTACTATATGTAATATAGCTGTTGATCAACTAACATCTCACATGCACGAGATATATACTTTCGACGGGGTGACAGAATGCAGTCCGACCAATCCAAGTTTCGTGCAACAATATGCTGAGTAAGTTTTTCATTTATGTATTTTTTAATGCATTTTAAAAAATATTATCGGTTGAGAAAGTTTTCATTGTTCACAAAATTTCGGTTATATGACATAGACAATGTAATTCACAATTTATAAGTTACTTCATATTGCACAGTATCAGAAGGCATATGGATCTCAAGCCGCGAGACATTATCGGTCAAATTGAAGCAAAGTTCAACATAAAAGTTTCATATATGAAAGCTTGGGATGCTAGAAGAAAAGCTGTGAAAATAGTATTTGGTAGCTGGGAGGAGTCGTACCGAACCATTAATTTGTTCATGGACGCTGTTGTGTTTTCAATGCACGAAACCGTTTATAAGTTACAAACGTCTGAGAATCATAGATTTGAGATATTATTTTTCTCCTTTGGGCCTTCGATAAAAGGTTGGAGCTACTGTCGCCCTGTACTTTGCCTTGACGACACATTCCTGTTAGGCAAATATCGAGGCACTTTACTAACCGCTGTGGGAATTGATGCTAACAATGGATTGTACCCCCTAGCCTTCGCAATTGTAG